ATATGCATGTACATTTAATCTCTAGAATAATATCACGACTTTAATTAACATTTATTGTAAATTTCAAATAATTTATTTCTACCTGCAGTATTTACCAGCAAAATATATAAAATATTCAAAAATAATTTTTCCTTGGAAGCAAAAAACAATACTATTTTTATCTGTACGTAATTTTACTTTATAATTCTATCCCGTAAACATTAAAAAAACCTTTCCATTTGTGGGACTACACTGTTTCCGGTTTTTTATAAATATCTCATTATGTTTAAGGTAAAATATGTTTTTACTATTCTTTGATGGAGGCAAAAGTTGAGATTCACGATAACGCTCTGATTCTATAAAACGGATAGAGAAAATCAAACAAGCACGTTTAGCATTAAGTACATGCTAGGAATATGAACACTCGGCATCCGTATGAGTATATGAGTGTATTATTAGTTAGTTCTCCAGGATATCCATCGTTAGGTCGAAACGAGCGGTGCAGCGGCGCGTGTTCTTCGTCCCATGGATGATTCTCGAGATGATAGCCGCTCGGAATAACTTGCCGTGCGCAGGCAGCAAGTTCATTATTATTACTGGTCCGTGCCGCTCTCCGTCCATTTACGTATATCGCGTTACACGTTGATACGCACGATATGCAAGACCGTGCAAAATTTAGATCAAATTTAACCATCCTCGTATTTTAGAGATACTAAAGGACAATATACGTTGTTTTCCCTGATATTTTTCCTTCACTAGCGATAATCGCGTATCTCTCTTTGAAAAAGAATCGTTATATTATGCACATTAATACATGGCTTCAAGAGCATTTGATTGCATAGCGATATCCACGAGAGTATTAACAGTCCGTTTACAAAGCACTTGCCAATCTGATGACGCAATTGTACGCGACGGAAGGAATATTCATACGTCGTTCATCGTGTTGACACGTGATTATCCAGAATGAAGGTGACGTTGACGTTAGATTGTACAGAATGGAACCAAAGCCTAGCGGTAAACTCCAAAAGTTGACAAAGGAAACTACGTTACGTGCGTTTTATACGACAGAAGAGACATGTTCCTTTCTGCGTAAAGATTTATAACTGAAAGTCTTATGTAATCTGAAGTTTTACATATATTAAAGCAAATATACATATATTATGAACCGATTCACACTCCATTTATTAATAAATGATGCGCACATTTATTTTTCTGTAGTATACGTTATATAAACTAAATATGCGTACATTTGTCAATAAAAGTGACAAACGTGTGAATACGAATCTATGTAGAAAAGAAAAAAATTATACAAAGATAGTACCCTTGCAAAAATCTAACACTGACCAATTTAATACGTATTAAGTATTAGGTATTAAAAGTAGTACTAAACAACTGTGCTTTTAATGCGTAAAATAAGTAATTAATTACTGTTCGATATTAAATTAACTACTATTAACCCTCCACTAGTATTGAGATTTTTAGAGGCACACTACATTGATATTTTGTGTGTGTGTGATTAGAATGAATATTTAATTAGTAGTAAATTTAAATTTATAAAAATAAATAAAATATAATCCAATAAAATAATAAGACATGTCAAAACTCTTTTTTGACGCTAATCTGATACACGATGTTTCATGACTTAAACAGAGCAGCTCTAAACGTACATATTTGCTAATACAATGGGGACTGTGTTCAATTTCGACTACTATTATCATGACAGAAACGGCTTCGAAGGTGCAGTTGCTTTACGCGAAGCGCGACGAGGCAGTCACTCCCGAAGGAAATCTTGCAGTTAGTATTATAACAAGAAACTAAAATCACTATTTGTTAATGTTGATAAAACAATTATATTCAAAAACAAACTTTGACAATTATATTCGTGGTAGCAATTGTAGCAAAAATATTATAAACCAAGCTCTATAAAAATGTGGCAAAATTTCCGATAATAAATTGAGAAAAGAAATGTAGACCTTTTAAAAAAAAATAACTTATACACGTAGTCATCTATAAATAATAATTATCGTAAGTCGAACAAAGAATATATCAGTAATTTTTCGCGAAACAGTTGAATCGTTTTATTTACAGCGGGTGCGAATATAATTCACATATAATACAATTAACAATTAATTATTAATATATAATTAATCATTAATAATAATTAATTGATACATTAGTAATAATAATAATAATAATTACCCATTATTTTTTACATTAAAATGTTGTATTTTAAACGGACGCAATCTCGAATAGCGATAATCTCGATGAGTGAAACTCAATTGACTTTGACATTCGCACTGCATTCTTTTCGATCGCCACATCGAGTCATGCTTCCGTCAGGGATTTATGCAAATGTATATATATATATGTGATTAATAATCAAAGTACGAAAAGGGGTCGCGTTATGGCTGTACATATAACGAGTCGGCGTACGTATGAGTTATCATAATATCTTAAAGGTGGCTCTATTACGGCGCTTATTGCGAATAATCGCGTTAACTGCGCCGCTGCGTTGCTGCAACTAGCGCTGTTGCTGCTGTTACGGCGGCTCTGTTATCACTTCCCGACATTTCGCAGCCGCATATAGTCGCCGTTAATCTTGCCGAGCGAGCTCTCGGGAAATTGCAAAATTGCCGTGCGTTCGATCGTCTCGATAAACATGCGGTTATTGCGATCTTAATGAACGTGAATGCCATACGAGTCCATCTCCATAACAAAGTTATCAAAAATAGTGAAATAAGCGACTATTTTAGCGTTAGAGTAATCATAAAAAATAAATAATTATAAAATAAAAATAAATCAGATAAACAAGAACTACATAAATCAAAATACACACGCATAAATAAATCTAAAAAAACTAAAACATTATAGGTTTTTGTCTTTTTTGTTGTTGATAATTAATAAGAAAATAAAAATTGTTAACTTTTTTAATTATTCTATACATGTTATTTCTATATCCTTTTTTGTCTGTTTTGTGTTAAAGGTATTATTATATCATATTATGTATTATTATAACTTGTTTACGCGTGTATATAAATAGAAGAGATACGCAAATACAAATTTAAACAATACCATTACTTGCATCTCGTTTCTTGTCATGGAATAATGTGAAATGTTGTTACAGATAAATAAACCAAGCTTTTGTAAAACGATACATTTCATGGAAAAATAATCAATACTAAATATTCACATCTCATACTTCGGTTTCATGATAATAACGCATGCTTTGAAATACGATACACTCTAATATATTCATACAAATATTTTATTTTATTATACATTTTTAAAATTTCATTGATTTTGTCGGACAGCGTAATATCTTTTTCATCAAAAACGGCATATTACAACAAACAATAGAAACAAAATACAGCTGGTTGGAAATTTTTAATTCATAATTAATAAGCTGTCACAAATAACGTGATGCGTTGTAGTATTTATATGAATATCTCAAACTGTGTTTTTGATAATATTACTTTTTGACAAATTGAACAAATGATATATTTCACGAAAAACAGCAGATATACATCATATGTATATCTTCATTGAAATAAGAAAATAGTATAAACACGTTATAAAAAATTATTTGTTTGACAAAAAAATAATTTTTTTTACTTTAAATATAATATATTATGTGTATACTTCAATTTTTATTTTGTAAAATTCAATACAAATCGCTACTATTACGTTTTACGGTTTTTTTCATTAAAACGTGGCATCTGCGTCACGTAAAACATTTTCCCGGGGGGATCCCTTCAATTAATCAAGCCAGCTCTCTTTGTGCGCGCAACACACGATACGCTACAATATTCATACTTCATCCGTCATTTTGGAAGTTTTCCCAGCTGGAAGCATCGCTTACAGAGGACGAGCCAGTCATGTTGCCAATTTCATCGTGGCAACGCAGTGCGGTCTCATTTAATTTTTCGGAAGGTGGAGCATGTAAATCCTCCACAGAGAAAGAAGGGATTCGTGAAATCTTTATTGCGAGATTTCTACTCTAAAAGACTAGCAAGATGCTAATAAATTAAACCACCAACGAAACAGACGAAGCCAACGACCATCTATTTTATTATTGCCAGATTTATCACTTTAATTGCATTTTCTGAGAATCTTCCTTACGTTTTGCGTAATCAAAATTGTTAAAATGTAACACTCTAATTCTGTACACACACACACACATATGGTTATAACATAATTATATTATCATCATAATTTTATTATTATTATTAACTTTTAGGAAATTATCAGTCTTTAAAAAAAAAACCAAGGCTAGACAAAGTAAAAATAAACAGTGCACCTACATGTAATCTAATCTTTTCTAACGATCGATTAGTTGCAAATATTAGCTCAAAGCGCATCAAATCATGTATTTCAAAAGTCGTTAAAAATCAATTTCGAAAATTTTAGTAGACTATAAATACATTGCTCCAATTGATATCCATATCCCACTTAAATCAATTAATTTGCGTTCACATTTCGTTTTTTTTTTTTGCTAAATGTAACTATGTGATAAATTTCGCGTTCCACGATCGTATTCAATCGCAAATAAGTGACGGCGTAATGCTCAATTTTGAAAAACTCTAAAAGTATCATCTTTAAAATTAGATTTTTAATTATATTCCCCTTAACGTTAAAATTCTTGATTAAAAAACTTATCCAATCTCTAAATCAACAATAGAAGGTAACATCATTTAAAAATTTTTTAACGAATCACTAGGTCATTACATTTTTCTTGTAAAAATTGACTTGAATTGCATAAATGCCAGTGATAGTAATGATAATAATAGAATATAAACAGAAGATAATAATAGAATCTCAGAATATTATTAAGAAAATCTTTCAAAGACATCAAAGTTCCCTTCCTCCTCCTCCTATTTTATATTCTATTATATTTTCAGCTATTTATGATTGGATTAACCATGTTGAAAAATTCATCTGTAGAATTTAAGTCTCCCAAGATTTCCCTAATGCATCCCCTTTACTCTCTAACTTGCCCTTTCAACCCACTGAACTCAACTCACTCTTGTGCTTCGAACTGCTCTTCCACAAACCCCTGAAGAACGACATTCTGGCCCAGCGCAGCACAAGCAATTCCAGCAGCTCCGAAATCTTTCCCCTTGTCACGATCTGCCTCGCCAGCTTTTTCCCGTTCGAGAGCTCGTCTCTCACTCACAAATCTTGATGCCAATTTCGCGCCAGTCCGGGACATATAAATCCGAAATCAAGCGATTTAATCGTTCTCACGGATGATCAGCCTTCATCGGTGTCACGTAACTTTGGTTTTTCTTAGAAAGCTACGAAATAAATCGAGAAGAAACGATGGTCAACAGCTGTTCGTTAGACACAAAATCTCTCCGAGAGCACCCGCGAAAACGTGTTGCCGCGGTGACAGCGCGCCGCGATATGAACCGTCCGGAACGGTTTATAGCGCCGCTTCGCCCTTGCGAGCGACATGCGCATCCCAGGCCGTCCTTGTCCCGTCGCTCTATCCCTCCCCCTCTCCCATTAGCAGCCCAGATTCCGGTTCCGCTTCCGAAGCGGATTCTATACTAAAAGTATAAAAATTATTGTCACGCGTTCCGCACGAATCCATGATGGCGACATCGACATTTCGGATCGATTTCGGAGTAAAAATCGAAAAATTGCGCATCTAAGAATTTCGCGTCAGGAGAGAAATTTTGAACCGATGAAAAGAAGACTCGAAAAATAACATATCGTAGGATAAAAGTAAAAATAAAAAAATTCTAAGAACTGATAAATTTTATTCATCCAGATAAAAATTTTCGATTGTGCGTAATAAAAATAAGAATGAAAAAAAATTCTCGATAGTTCAATAAACTTCACGGGAAAAAATACGGATAGAGGAGAAAAACATCAAGAATAATATTTGTTTTTTTTATCCGACAAACTAAAAGCTCGTATATACCACTCAAATAGTAAAAAACAAAAACAAATATTCCAATATGATGTAAACGCAAATGAACAGAAATTGGAACAAAGTTGATATATTAAAAATTTTGAGACAATATTAAATTTCAGACGATATTAAATTTCAGACAATATTAAATACAAAGGACAAACTTAATATCGGATTAAACATCGTTGAAGTGACTGTCGTCGGATGGGCTTGCGGAGCAATTTGGTATTCATCTCCGCCGACGACATAGTTGCCAAGAAATTGATGCGTTGCTCGGGCACGCTCCAGAAGCACGGGACGAGAGTCTCACCACCTAATTTCATGGGAGATGCTCGCCCTAAACTTACAGGAACCAAACTTCGATAATCTCGTGGCAAGTAAGGACCCCGCCCAGACAATTTAATGTGCTTCCGTTTTTGCATTTCCACAGATTAAAACGAGCAAAAGTCATCGTTCCTTGAGGAAAAACACATTTCGACACAGCAACAAATGTAACTGACATCATAATAACATAATACAAATTCTAAAATATTTTAAGATAAGATTGTCAAAATGTGCGCGAGTTCAAGAAAATTTAAAACTGTAATAAAAAGTCGGTATTAATTTCTTCCAACTCATAAACTAAAAAGTATAAAATGCGCAGTCAGTTGATATCGGGTTTTCTTGTCGATTTCGCGCGGAATGCGATTAAACTTGAATAATGTTGTTGGAATTGTCGGGAAGTCGAAATTAATCAGGGAAACTGATTTCGTGAATTTCTCCGTAATCGAAAACCTTAAGTTAACCCAAAGTTATCGAGTATAGGCGAGTCCGAAATTCTTGGCCAAACCCGAAAATTTATCAGGTTTTCAGAAAATACGAGTATCCATTCGATTATCGGGGGTCGTTATGCGTTCGTTAGCGCGCGATTGACTTTAGACGACGGCAGCTCGAATCGATTTCACGTGCGCTCGACAAAATTGCCAATCAATCGAGGAGAATCGAGGAAAACAACTGTCCTCCGGCTTGGTAAATTACCCGTATCTATCGGCCGCATCGGATTACGAATTGAACTAACGCATCAGTGAAAATAGATGGCCATGAGATAATCGTACACTGGATAAAATTGCAATTTAAAAGCGAAGAAAAAGAATATAGAACGAATCTATGTATCTCTGTGAGACCAGTGTGATTGACAACGAGTGAGGAATGACATAATATAAATATAGAAAAGTATAAAAAGATATTAAATTGATATAGTAATTAATATAACAAATAGGAGATATATTTTTAGAGAAAAAAATTTTAATATTTAAAAATAAAGAATTATGTCAAATAAATACAAAAATCGTCTGTTATTAATTTTTATAATAAAAAATTTCATTTAAATAAAAATATACGTTATTAAATAAAATATACATATTCACTTAGAAAACAACAATATTGGTATTTGCTATAATATTAAAAACGAAAGTAATTTTTTGGACATCCTCTCGAAAAGTAATCTATTAAACCCCGACTGAAGTATAAAGACCGTTGGTACATAAAAATTCGCGACGCGAAAGAAATTTCGGACCGGGAATGAGCTGATGCGGCAACCTGCGTAAGATGATTGACGAGAGAAACTGGCACGATCGTTCTTAGGGAGACAGGCTTAATCGAGTTGCAAGTTTTTGTACTCTCAGACATGTCGCAAAATTCTGCTCGATCGCGCTTGTATCTCTTTTCTCTTCCACATTATGATTCGATTGGTTCTCTTTCGCCGTCGCCGCGGAATAAATCAGCAACCGAAAACGGTACCTATAATTTTCGATATGTTCAAATTTCAATGCAACATGAAACTAATTTTTGTAGTTGATTATAGTACAAATTAGTTCGGTCCGTTTTCCAAAATTGGATCGCCTCCAAAAACGAGTCATTTTTTTCGAGATGGAATTTGAAAATTGTTTGAGAGATGGGAAAAAGTAGTAGCCAGCGAGGGACAATACTTTAATTAATCTGTTCATTTATTTTGTTTTGAAATAAATGCATTTTTGAACACAAAAAACGGACCAAACTAATTTGTACACCTAAATAATAGTGAAAAACTTGCGACATTCGTACTAAAACGAACACAAGCAAGACACCAAAATAATTACTAAAAGTCATTTTTTAATTATTTATTTCAACGTCTTTTGAATGTAACAGTGACTTGTTCTACTTGGGTAACTTTCTCGATTCTAATACTGAAAAAAATAATCTCGCTGAAACAGTTAAAATGCAAAGAGGATACGTAAATTATTCGCTCAATGTTTTTTTAGGCAATACAAAAAAATATAAAAATGCAGAAATCACGGAGCTGATCCTGAAATCGAGCGATAGCGAATATTTTTCATTAAAACGCGACGTATGGTGTTTTCGGGATAACGGACGATCTACAAAGACCTCCGCAAAAAAACTGACGAACGTCACAGCTGCAGTCTTCACACCTTCCACATTTCTTCTTCGTCATTCCGTCCATCGATCGGTACTCCATCCTTTCGCTCTTTTCCCGATGCAGCTGGGATCGACAGGAATTCTGTGTTTGACAATACTCGTCGAGCTTGTTTGGCGGAATCGAATGACGTTTCTCGTGACATGTCGTAAATTCATATGGCGAAATATACGTAATTAAACGGTTTCGTAACGGAACTTTACATGATTTTTAATATTTTTATTCTGGGCAAAAATAAAGAGTATAGAATTTTTCTATAAAAAAAAATATTTCAACGCTTCAATGTATTTTCTTGGCAATCTAAAAAAATATTCTTTTATATACCTTAATTCCATTAATTAGTTCCATTAAAATTCTAAAGTAATTTTATCACTCCCTTTGATGGTGATAAATGACTTAATAAATTTAATCATGTGTGTGTTGATAAAGAATTAATTAAATGTATAATTGTAATATTGAAAAAATCAGCAGCTATTCGACAAAATCATTTAGTTAAAGCTGTAAAAAGAATATTAAATCAAATTATATGAGGTTTTGAAATTATAAAATATTTGTTTATATAAATTTAATGTTATTTTATCAATATAAAATACTATCAAAATAATAAATTCTTTCTATTTATAGAGATAATAATATACGTATAGATACATAATTTACAGTCATTTATCATGTCATAGTTTCGTTAAATAATCTCCTAATATTAAAAAATTATTTAATATTAAACATTTATACATTTTTTTATTTATTTTTATCTCTCTATCTTTCTTTTTTATTATAATTAATTTGTATGAAAATATCATTAAATCATGTAATATAGCGTATTTATTCTGCGTTGCATGTTATGTAATTCCACGTTCATTCTGAAATAGCAGTAGATAACTATTTATCGCGCAGTATTTTCTCTTAGCTATTATTCCACTACTCTGTCACAACATATCTGACATCGTCGACATCAAGTCAAGCTCAAGTCCGGCACGCTCGACAAGCACACGTGTGATACACGCCTGCGTACAGTGTACGTGTACCCGGTTCGATACGGTCGTCGCGTACGGTCATCGGCCGTAATACGCAATACGAATTCCACTAAATCTCAATTATGCGTGACTTGGGTTCACTTTGTAATTCCGAATCTCTTCTCGCAAGATGTGAACAAAGCATTGTTACGTAATTCCGTGCACAGGCAATGATCAGAAAATGCATTAACCAGGGCAAATGCATGGGATACATGTACCGAGAAAAAATACTAAAAAGCAAACATTTGTTTAAATAATACTAATTTAACCCAGGATAAGAAAATATTTTCTGTTTGCTGTTAATTTAGAACCATAATGGATCGAAATCTTCGTTATATATTTTATATATAATATATATACGTATATAGTGTGTGTGTGTGTGTGTGTGTGTGTGTAATTATATTAAATTTATAAAATTTGTCTTAAATGTGGAAGAAGATCTAAAATAAAATAATATCCAAAATAGAGCATTGCGAAAGAAAATCTCACGAATTGTGGACTCAACCCATTCTGATCTCCAATACTTCATTTATCATTCCACCTTCTATTCATAGAATAGCATTGGCTGTTCGAGTTCCAAGATATTGATCTATTGTATATGATGCGTATAAGCCTGATAACGCATCCGCAATATTATCATACACTATAAAGAGATATAGAATACTCAAAACCGCCACTAAACGGA